TTAAGTACTTAACCCATTAAGCCTATTAAGATAAAAAAAGAAACAAAGTAAAACTAATAAAATATCATATTATTTTCCATTCAGATTCTCTCTCTCTCTCTCTCTATATATATATATATATATATATATATATATATATATCATTTCACTTTCAAGACTTCAAGTTTTTAGAAAAATAAAAAATGCCAGTTTACAAAACTACGCAATTTTAAGTTTAATAAAATATGGGAATACAAATCATCAAACTCACATCTGGACTTGTATGGTAATGATTCTTCTCCATTATGTATTCCATGTATCCCATCAAAAACCACACTAGGAGAACTTGTATAGATAAGCCTCTTCACATTAAGTTTAGTACAAGCATCAATTATGTTCTTAGTACTTGTAAATCCAAAAACAAAAGTTAATACTGTCTTAGAAATTAACTAACTATGTTTATTATCTTTCTTTTTACCTGTAATTATTATTATTAAATAATAATTAAAACTTAGGATGTGAACAATAATATATATATATATATATATATATATATATATATATATATATATATATATATCCACAGGACTTCTGTTAGCTAATATTAGTTCATTCACTTAAGCCCTGTTTTTTTTCGCATCAAGTGCTATCTGGATAAAGATGTTCAAAAATATTTGAAAAAAAAATGACAGCACACTTACGGAAGAAGAAGGAAAAAATAAATAAGGCAAACTTGTAAAAGATTAGGATATGTCTTCATGGAAAAAGCCTGGCATTCTCCATTAAGTCGTTCTTTACACATTAACACCCATATATAACTTATCATACTAAGTCCATTCTTGATTAAGTCTATTAAGTCAAAAAGAAACATCACGTCATTCAATTTCTGAAAAAATGCATTAGCACTTTTTCAGAGGCTTGTCTTTGACATGTATAAATACATATACTCATTAGAATTTTCACAAAATAATATTTCTCATTACCCAATATAAAGATGATTATATAGGGTTACTTCCAAGAAAGCCCTTACATTTTATCATGTTTTATTTATTTATTTTTTGTTTTAAAAAGACAATTTTTTTCTTAATTTAAACCTGTAACTATGAGGAAACTTGTTAATTTTTAGGATTTTTTACTCATTGAACCGGCCGAGATGCTGACCTGATTAATTCCAAGAAAGGCCTTAACAAAGACAAAGTTATTTAGAAAAAGACAAAGTTATAACAACCCATAACTTTGTGTATTTCTTATAAAACATGTCAAAGTGTAAGAGCTTTCTTGGAATTAACCCTTTTATAATCCACGTCAAGATCTCAAGCAGTTGAATGGGTAAAAAATCCTTAAAAGAACAAATTTCTTCAGAGTTGCAGACTAAAATGAAGAAAAAATTGTGCCTTTTTCATAAACATGTCAAAATGTAAGGCCTTTCTAGTACTTAAACCTTTTTTGTATTTGAATGAACTGTTTTTGTCGCAACCATATAATCTCAGTGGGTGGTTAAGTGCTAGTAATCCGGTTATGCTTTTAAAAAATGAGACATACGGGACCCACCTGTGAATTTAAAGTATATTTCTCTAGCTTGTCTGAGAAAACTTCAAGTACCCCAGCTTCCACTACAATACGCCTGTTTCCCTCACCTCCATCACGGATGCCACTTCTGTTAGCCAAACCCCTTGGAGTTCTAACATCAACTTCAAGAGGGTAACAACCTGAACTTTGTTTTATGATATCTACTAATGCATATATAACAGATTTTTTACCCTGAAGCATCAAGTGCTTCCATGGTTTCCTTTCTGTGCTCCTTCAAACCACAAATGAGCAGTGAAATTCCCCCAACTCTCACTATATGAATACCTTGAAGAATCAAACCCAAGAGAAATAGCTTGATAGTTCTGAGTACAACCATGTGGGAATACTACCACTAAAATCTGTGAAATAGTCTGCACAAAGAGAAAAAGTATGCACATAAATGATTAAAGCTAGAATATTTTCTTACTGCAATCAAGCTAGTATAGTTCATGAGTTCATCTGTGTTAAGGACTTTAGTCCTAAAGGCAATGCCTTCCAAGGACACGGGAACAAGTTTGACTTCAACAGGACGTAAGAAAGCCATTTTTTCAGCCACCTGAACACAAAAGGTAGTGTGGTATTAGAAGAAAAAAGAATGATGTCATTGAACGTGAGTTTCTTATACCTTCTGCCAGTCAACAAAGTCAATGAGTTCAGGGTCCATGGTTTCTTTTGCAGCTATTTGAAGTATTTTTCCCCATCTTGTTTCTCAAACCTGCATGATCAGAAGGGGAATTCTTGAATGGAATCAAAAATTAATTAACTATAACAATTATTTAACTATAACTAAACTTTTATTATACTTCAAATGATTACAAAACAAGTAAGCAACAAGACCGAGAAAAATGTTTCAAAAAAAACTTGAAAATTATATGGCATGGGACAGGGGCATTTTAGGCATGAGAGAGAGCTTGATGATTTCCCAAATGCCCCTGATTCTCTTTACTTGATGATTTCCCAAATGCCCCTGATTCTCTTTACTGTGAACATATAATTCGATAACTTATAATTCAAAACAAACCAATTAGCATAAAGAGAGAGCTTACCGGTGGAGTACTTACATTTAACATAGAACAAAGATTTCAAGCAAATAGATTTAAAAAAAAAGATTCAAATCATATCCCAACATCAGATTTCAGCATGAGATTTTAGCCAATATATTTCAGCAAGTATGTTTGTTTCAACAGTTCATTAGTAAACATTTCAACACAAAAAATTAAAGGCAGCAAAATGAATTCAACTAGGATGTTTTATCTCAAGATGAAAATTCCAGCAGAGCAACATAAGATCGACCAGCATAAAAACGATTCAATCAGACAAGTATCTGTTGCATCAAGAAAATATAATTATTCAAAATCAACAACCAATCACTTTCTGTTGAAGCATATATACACACAATTCGGAAACAAATCAGTCAAACCTACATACATTTAGTCCATAGCTCCAAGTCTAGAATCTTTTTATTTGGATTTTTCATGTTGGGGAAAAGGAATACCTGTAAACAACCCATTTCATATCAATACAGATCATTGACCTAGGATTTCATTGTAGATGGTGAGGCTTAAAGGCAAAACAAGTGTTATTAGTGTCCTCAAAGAAATTTTCTTTAACCCTATTAGAGGAATCCAAGAACATCATGGAGCTTCTACCATTACCATTTGGAACAAATTGGAACTTTCCAGTAGTTGGAGATGGTTGAACCTACAACAGAAAGGATCATTTAGTATAGTAAATTACTAATATACCCCTAGTTTATCTAGTGAGCTTACCAATGAGTTGGAAAGGAAAACAGGTGATTCCAGAAAAGAAGTTGGGCTAACACCAGGTGAAAATAAATATGGAGATTGTTGAGTTTGTGAATTATCAGAAGATTTTATAATCTCTGTATTCAACCTAGGAGCATTATGACCAGCTCTAGCTGCCATTCTTTCAACAAGAGGTGCCCTTGAGCTCGTTTTTTGATCACCAAACTCACTTGATTTTGTCGCATCGCCATTTTCAGACCCGATTTGGGGATTTGGTCCAGCAAAAGTGAACCCGGTGTCGTTATTGGTATCGTTTTTTGGAGGGTCGGGTACAGATCTTGAACCAGGATCATCCCCCAACACAGCTAAAATAAAAGACCTAGGGCTAGGGCTCGGAGGCATCCAATCGCCAATTATCCCACCATGATCGTCAAAACCACCCATGAAAATCGAAAGCTTTCTTCCTTGATTATCTGTTCAGTGGTTTGTTAGTTTTTCAGACTTTGAAATTTCACACAAAATCGAAACAGTGATGATGGTGTTTTATGTACGAAATCGTAGTGTTTTGGTCGTGTTTTTTTTGGAATTGTCAAGCTTTAAACAGTAACGATAGTGTTTTTATGTACGAATTAATCGATTGAACAAATAAATGTACAGATTTAATTTCCGCTTTTGGTAAAACGATAAACCAAAAAAACATTTGAATCGTCTACCCGATTGAAGTGGGTAGACCACAATAATAGAAGATAATATAGTTTTTCTAAAATGGGAATCGAAAATCGATGATATTCAAACATTCGCTTTTCACATATTCTCGTGGATTAAGCCCAATTTTGCAATCCCGAACCAATAATCGATATCCGAAAACGATCTAGCTAAAGGGAATTCATTAAAACCAAAGATCTGAATGGGATTGCAAAATCCAACCAACTTCAAAATGGAAATCCAGTTGAAGAATCGATGGAATGATTGAAAAAACATGATTAAGGGTTGTGATACGAACCTGGAAAACAACACACAGACAGTCAAGGGTAAGCTAATAACAAAGGAGACCCTTTTGTCTCCTCTGATTAGTTGATTCTCTGTGATTAACAGGCCATAACGCAGAGCACACGTCTCTAGGTCCTAAAACATACCTTTGGCAAATTAGATCTAACTGATAGACCATGGGAAGGCAAGAATTTGGAGATGTGGAGGACATCGTTCGGCCGAGCAAGTCGACGACTGTTGTTGAGAAGTGTCGAGATAAAGATAAGGTCGGTCATGTAAACAAAAACATACCTTAATCGTACTTAGGGCTTGCAAATTTGAGCAGTCGTTGTAGTCTCTGGTGACGTGAGGTGAGCCCGAGGTCGCTGGTGGAAAGAGATGAGCCGAGGTTGCCGGTGGAAAGAGATGAACCGAGGTCGTCGATAGGAGGTGAGGTGAGGGAGCGAACATTACAGAGAGCACTCCTTGAAAAAGCCCTAGATAATGGTCCCAGCAATGGCGGGGTCTTCAACTTTTCTAATTTTTTTGAACACGAGGTTTTAGATTTGGTCGACGCCATTAATGAGGAGACCTCGCATATCAATTACGATTCACCTTCTCTTTATCTTCTTGTTCTCCTCTTGATGATTTCAGACTCCGTCTCTATGACTTTACATGATATTTTTTAGAAAGGAGTCTTTGTGGAGCATCAGGGTTTTTCTTTATTTCATAACCCTCGCATGTACTGGGTTGAGAGAAAACGAGAGAAGCAGAAGCTTGGAAGAAAATAAAACCCTAGCACGTGCTAGAGAGAAAGGAGGTGGCGATGGCTTAGGGTTTACAGAGAGACGGGAGGTAGAGAATGAAAGGAGAACTAGAGGAGAGAGTATCAGAGAGGGGAGAGTGGATTGCAAGGATGAAAGATAGATAGAAGAAAGAAAAAACGAGGCGGGTTTTCAAAATTTTGGAGATTCCGTTTCCCCCCCCCCCCCCCCCTTGTCTACTAAAAGCGCGTTTCATTAAAATTATAAAGCAACAGCTATAGACGACGCGCATTTAAGATAAAGCGCCCTCCGTGTTTTTAATTTTTTTTCTTGAGACACTAAATTAAGGGCACTCAATAATGCATGACGTAAATCCTTAAATTTTTTGGAGAGATGACACTATTTTAAGGGCACGTCCTTTTCCGTATCATTAATCAGTGCGTGTCGTAAAAAGCGCGTCATTAAAGATCATTTTTCTAGTAGTGCATGTTTGTTTATGTGCATTATTAGGGTATTTCAACAAGAACATCATGCATGCCTTTGGTAAGATCCGATTTCTAACACATGCATGGAATGAATGAGCATCCAAGATGTACTAGAAATGGTTTAAATGCTTTTGGTCATGCATGCACACAAAAGAAATGGAGAAGAACATGAAATATTAGATTTTGATGTCACATGATCATATGTGCATCTTTTTCACTCCTTGCATGGGTTTGATCCCGGATTTTCACCATTTCAAACACATGCATTGTGTTATGGTGAGAATCTACAAACCACAAGGGAAGAATAAATATTTCTAGCCATGGAAAGGCATACAATCCGAAAAGAAGAAAAAACTAAGAAGGAAAAGAAGTAGAATCATGAAACTATGGAAGAAGATGATGTTGTTTACCTTGGTTATGATCTTGAGAGAAGTAAGAACACTTCAAGGTCTTCAAAGTCTTGAAATTTGGCAGAGAAATGAGAGAAATTTCGTGAGTTTAGAGAGAGAGAGAGAGAGAGAGAAAGAGGAAGAGAGTGATGTGTGTGAAGAGAGTGAAGTGAGAAGAGTGAAGAGAGAAGAGGTGGAGTGTGGGTTTGAGTTTAATCATGAGTTTTGGGAAGAGAGTGCATGGGGAGAGGGGAGAATGGCCAGATTTTTGAGTGGATTAGGGCCTTCTCTCTCCTCAATTCAAATTTTATAAAAATCCCTCCTTAATTTATATAAAACCCAAGAATTTTTATAAAATTTCTTCTTTATATAGTTCTTGATTTATTTAAAAATATTTGTATTTAACCAATAGTTTATGATTAACACTTGATAATTTAATTTCTATTTCATTGATTATAATTCATAATTTGATTAATAAAAATTTGATATTAGGAAGTTTATAGCCAAATTTTATAAAGTTTTTAAGCTTTATAATTTATAAGTTTGGATTTTTGGCTCTTTAGGGTTTTTGGAATATTGTTTGATATTCAACAACATGTTGAAGTATAATTAGAATGTTTTAATTTATTTTTAGAGTTTTATACCCTATTTCAATTATAACAAAGCTTGAAGCTTTATTCTAATTATAGTATTGGCATTTCCTATTGTAGCTAAGAAACTTACTAGAATTGTAAGTATCAAGTATATTAGTCCTAGATCTTAGTTGGATCCTAGTTTATGCAAGATTTTTGACCTAATTTATACTACTAGGTCATGGCATGTTGTGCATGAATGGTTTTTATAAAGATGCATGAGTCCGAGAATGACCTGAATTGACAGTTGTCACAGTTTTGGAAAGAATCTATGCCAAAGTAAGCTAAAACCCATGTTAACATGTGATAAAAGTGTACCTATTTTACCAATTAAATAGTCACCATCGCACCATATGATCCTAAAGAATGGGAAACCTAGGGATGTCAGAGAAGGAAGTTGTTTCAAACTTATTCAACCCTCGTCCTCTTTTGATGCCCAAATATATCACTATTCCTAACTTCCATGTATGCCTATTCACCCAACAATTTCATGGTATTCCAAAGGAATTATAAAGTAAGAGCCACAAACAATAACAAACACTGAACAACTACAAATAACTTAAACCTAAAACCAAAGTGTAGTGGTCACAAGAGAAAAGCACTAAATATATATTTCGATTATGGAGTGTTCGAAGAGAAATATTAAAGGATGTAAGAAATCCTAGATTCATTATGAAACT